GACCATACCATTGAAAACTCTATGGAGCAGTTCTCCTCTATGCACACCTCTGTACACATGGGGACATCCGCCACCATCACTGCCATCAGGTAGATCTGACCCACGTGTGACCCTACATGACGTTTTCGAGACTATAAATCCTTATGGGAACAGCCAGGCTCATCTTTGTTTTCAGAGCCTTTGGTGGATTGGAATTACTGGCCTGGTAGTTAGCTGTTGTTGTTGTTACGTGTCATCAAGTCAATTCCAACTCATAGTGCCCCTACACACAGCAGAACAAAATACCGCCTGGTCTTGAGCCATCCTCACAATTGTTGTTACATTTGACCCCATTGCTGCTGCCACTGTGCTAATCCATCTCATTGGGTGTCTGTCTCTTTTATGCTGATGCTTCACTTTACCAAATGTGATGTCCTTCTCCAGGGATTGGTCCTTCCTAATAATGTGTCAGAAGTCTTGTCATCCTGGCGTCAGAAGAATTCTGGCAGTACGTGGTACTTTTAATATTCTTTGCCAATACCATAACCCAAGTAAATCAATTCTATCCTCTTCCTTATTCAGTATCAACTTTCACGTGCATATGAGACTTGAAAATTCCATGGTGTGGGTCAAGCACAACTAAGTCCTCAAACTGACATCTTTACTCTTGAACACTTTAAAAAGGTCTTGTGCAGCAGATATGTGTAATGCAATACGTTGTTTGGTTTCTTGACTGCTGCTTCTATGAGTATTGATTGTGGATCCAAGAAAAATGAAGTCTTTTCTCCATTTATCATTTATTGGTCCAGTGGGGAGGATTTTTGTTTTCTTTACATTGAGGTGCAAATCATACTGAAGACTGATCTTTGGTCTTCATCAGTATTTGAAGTCCTCTTGGCTTTCAGCAAGCAAGGTTTTATCGTCTGCATATTTCAGGTTATTAATGAGTCTTCCTCCAATCCTGATGCCACCTTCATCTTCATATAATCCAGCTTCTTGGATTATTTGTTCAGCATACAGATTGAATAATTATGGTGAAAGAATAAAACCCTGGCACACATCATTCCTGATTTTAAACAATTCCGTGTCCACTTCTTCTGTTCAAATGACTACCCCTTGGTCTATATACATGTTCTTCATGAACACAATTAAGTGCTCTGGAATACCCATTCTTTACAATATTTTCCATACTTTGTCATGATCCACACAATTGAAAGTCTTTGCATAGCCAGTAAAGCACAGGTAAATATATTTCTGGTATTCTCTTCTTTTCAGCTAAGATCCATCTGATTTCAGCAATGTTATCCCTTGTTCCATGTCATCATGGAATCCAGCTTGAACCTCTGACAGTTCCCTGTCTATGGACTGTTGCAACCATTTTTAAATTATCTTTAACAAAATTTTATTTGCATGTAGTATTAATGCTATTGTCTGATAATTTCTCAATTCCATTGGTTCACCTCTCTTTGGAAATGGGTACAAATATAGATCTCTTCCCATCAGTTCCTCAGAAAGCTGTCTTCCCAGTTTCTTGATATAGATGAGTGAGTGCCTCCAGTGCTGCATCAGCTTGTTGAAAAGATTTCAAATTGTATTCCATTAGTTCCCATAGCCTTGCTCTTTGTGAATGCTTAATTGCACTTCAGTACCATTGGCTCTTGATCATATGCTTCCTATTAAAATGATTGAACATTGACCATATCTTTTTGTTACAGTAACTCTGTATTCCTTCCATCTTCTTTTCATGCTTTTTGCATCATTCAATATTTTGCCTTTAGAATCCTTCAATATTTCAAGTCCAGGCTTGAATTATTTCCTCAGTTCTTTTACCTTAAGCAATGCTGAGCACATTCTTCCCTTTTGGTTTTTCTAACTCCAGGTCTTTGTACATTTCATTATACTACTTTGACTATGTCTTGACCTTCCTTGTGAAATTTTCAGTTCAGCTCTTTTACCTCCTATTTCTTCCATTTCCTGTAGCATCTCCATGCTGGAAATCAAGTCTCAGAGTCTCTTCTGACATCCATTTTTGTCTTTTCCTTCTTTCTCTTTTGCTTTCTTCCTATATGAAATTCTTGATGCCATCCCACAGCTCTTCTGATCTTCAGCCTTTAGTGTCTAATACATCAAATCTGTTTCGAGATGATCTCTAAATTCAAGTGGGATATGTTCATGGTCATGTTTTGTCTCTTGTGAACTTGGCTGAACTTGAATATGAACAAATGATGGTCTATTCCACAGCCTGTCCCTGGTCTTATCATGTCTGATGATGTGAAGCTTTTGCACAGCCTCTTCCCACAGATAGTAAATTTGATTTCTGTGTATTCCATCTGGTAAACTCCATGTATAAAGTTCTTTTATGTTGTTTATAAAAGGTATTTGCAATGAAGAAGTCATTGGTCTAGAAACATTCAATCATGCGAGCTCTAGCATCGTTTCTATCACCAAGACCATATTTTCCAAGTATCGATTTTCTTTTTTTTCCAACCTTTCCATTCCAGTTACCAATCCATCTAGATTGCATGTTTGGTCCATTTCAGACTGAAGAAATTGGTAGAATTCTTCAATTTTATCATCACTGGTTTTAGTGATTGGTGAATAAATTTTAATAATAGTGGTAATAAATTGGTCTTCCTTGTAGTCACATGGATATTATCCTGTCATATATGGCATTATACTTCAAGATAGATCTCAAAATATTGTTTTTGATGATGAGTGTGACACCATTCCTCTTCACTTTGTCATTCCACTCATAGTAAACCATGGTGGTGGTGGTTATGTGCCGTGGAGTCGGAACCGACTCATAGCGACCCTGTGCAGGGTTTCCGAGGCTGTAAATCTTTACGGGAACAGAACGCCTCATCTTTCTCCTGCGGAACAGCTGGTAATTTCGAACCACTGACCTTGCGGTTCACAGCCCGATTCGTAACCACTACGCTACCATAGTAAACCATAGGATTCGCATAATCAAAATGGCCAGCTCACTAATGCCTAGGGTATTGATATTTGTGCATTCCAATTCCCTTTTGACAACTTACAATTTTCTTAAATTCTACTTTGTGCATTCTATGTTCTGATTATTGGACTGACTCCTGGTGTGGCAGTGTGGGTTAATGCACTGGACTTCAAGGTTCATTTGAACTGCATGATCAACTGTTCAAGTTCACCAGCCACTCCTTGGAAACCTTATACAGGGTCGCTATGGGTCAGAACCAACTCAACGACACCTAACAACAACAGCACAGCTGTTTCTCCTCATTTTGAGTTGTGCCCCATCAGTAAGTGAAGGTCCTAAAAGTTTTATTCCCATTTGCTCCTCATGGTCACCTTTACTCTGAGAAGGCAACTCTTTCCCAGTTTTATTTTGAGTGCCTTCCAAACTGAGGGGCTCATCTTCCAGCACTACATCTGACAATATTCTGGTACTATTCTTCATGTTTCAGTATTCAGTCTTCTGATGCTGACAGTGTTCCACTGCTATTCATAAGAGTTTCAGTGGCTAAACATTCAGAAGTAGTCTCTCTCCTTCATCCTGGTTTATTTCAGTTGGAGCATAACTGAAATCTGTCCACTGTGGATGACCCAGAGCTATTTAAAACACCCATGGCATAGTTTCCAGCTTCACAGCAATACACAAGCCACCACACTTCAATAAACTGACAGATGGGTAGTGGTTGTGGTTAGCAGTCTAGTGATTATCCTAGGGCTCCTAGCAGGTCACTAGGAGGACGAATTGACAGATGGCAGCAATAACAATAGCAGTATTCCTTCATAAATTTGTTGTTAAGTGACATTGATTTTGTCTCAACTCATAGCAACCCTGTATTGAGTGTCTTAGGAGTAGCTGGTAGGGCTGAACTGCCTACTTTGCAGTTAGCAGTCCATCGCTTATCCTACAGCATCATACCAGGACTCCCCTCTGTAAATATCACTTAGATATCCAGTGTTCTCAATCTACAAAAGATTGAGATTTTAACAAAAGTTATTGCCAAAACTAGCGTTTAAATAAATTAAAAAAAAAAAAAAAAAAAAAAGCCCTCACTGCCATTGTGTTGATTCCAACTCTTAGGGTTTCCAAGTCTATAAATCTTTACAGGAACCTCATCTCATCTTTCTCCTAGGGAGTAGCTTATGGGTTTGAAGTGCTGACCTTGTAATTCATAGTCCATGTGAGCTTCCTGTCTTAGTATTTAAAGTTCCTTTAATTAAGACCATAAAGTTGTTCTGATTGGCCCAAGGGACCTGAAAACTTCCTGTCCCCTTGAGGGGAGAGAACAGACCTCCAGGTAGACATATGGATCAGAGCCCCAAAGAGAAGATAGGAGGACATGAGAGAGAGGATAGGTGATCACCAAAGGGAGTCTTGTATGTCTCCATGGTTTGTGTTGGGCTAAAGGACCCAGGCATCAAGGAGAAGAAAGAGGAAAGTGGCAGAGACACAGAAACGAGCTAGAAAGAAATGCTATCTAGGTTTCACTGAAACTAATCTAGAGATCTCCAAGGAGTGCTAGGCCTACAGATGCTGAAAGGAGACCAGGGCTTTTCCCAGGGCCAACAAAGCGAGCAAGCCTTCCCTTAGAACTGTCAGTCTGAATGTGGAGTAGCCTCCTAAACTGTGAGAGAATACATTTCTGGTTGTTACAACCATTCATTTGTAGTATTTCTTTTATAGCAGTAGTAGATAACTAAGACAGAATTTGGTGCCAAATTCTGTAACAGATTTGGGTGTTGCTGTAACAGATGCCTAGAATGTGATACCTAGACTGAATTTACAGTCTCCCTTCTCTCTTTGCCTTCTCCTCTCATACAGCATTGGGAAATGACTTTTCTTCTTGAGTGACCAATAACCTGAGAGATAATTCAGGGAGAGCTTCTATGATGTATAGCTGACTGGAACCTTCTATCTCTGTAATCGCTCTCTTTTCAATCTCTAAACCATAGGTTTTCAGTTGATAAATGGAATAATTTTAGGTTAGGGTTTCCATTTGAAACAAAATATCTTTCATTATTGTCTTTTAGGAATTGTTGGAGCGGGATTACTGAGCAAAAGCAAGCATTGAGTCTTCAGGTGTTATTGATTTTGCCATCAGATTGGAAACGTGTAACTTGAAGAAACTTCCAGCCTGCAGTGAGGCAGGCAGTGAGATATAAAAGCTCACCTAATAAAAGACATGGGCTTCAACTTAAGTTTTCACCTTTCCTACAGAGTCCGATTACTGATACTTTTTACCTTATTCTTGACCGTGGTTGGTTGGGCCACCAGTAGCTACTTTGTGGATGCTATTCAAGACATTCCTAAAGCAAAGGATTTCATGGCTAACTTCAAGAAGCCCACAGTTTTGCAGGAAGAAGAAATTTTGACTAACAAAGCACCTGTGAAAAAAGCAAAACTTGAAAACTGCCCTTCTGTGTCTCCATACCTCAGTAAGTTTTTCTTTTTTATAAGTTGTATGTAAACTTTTGATTTAAATGTGAAATGTGTACAAAAAAAATCAGAAGTGTACAGTTTGGTTAAGTTTCACAAAATGAATATACCTGTGGGACTTGTATGTAAATTTAAATTTATGTAAATTTAAAAGTGGAATATACTAGAATGCCCAGAAGTTTCTTTTCAGTCACTACCCTCACTTCAAGATTCTAATGCCACGCAGTAGACTTTCCTGGTTTTGAACATCACATAATTGGGAAACATATGCTATTTTGTATTTGGCTTCTTAATACTATGTTCGTGAGGTCTGCCCCTATTGTTAGTTTATGGTTATAAACAGTTTGCTCATGTTCACTGATATATAGTATTCCATTATATAGACATAGCCAATTTTATTAACCGGTCACAAAAATCTCAGCAGTGTGTAACCAATAAGTATGTATTTAGCTTACAAGTCCTTGTGGTGAGCTGGGGGTCTACTGATCTTGGCTGGGCAGCTTTGCTGTGTACATTCCTCTCATTTCCTACTGGGATCAGCAAACTAATTCAGGCATGTTCTTTTCATCACATGATAAGAGCACAAGTGGGAAAATGTGAACACATTTAAAAGCTCCCACTTGTGTCACATTGTTAATATTCCCTTGACCAAAGTATGGAGTCAAGGAGTAGGAACTAAGCTTTTAATGTTGTCTTTAGTGTTTATTTCTTAAATATATGCATATTCTTCTAAGTTAACACTTTTAATAGACACTAAACTAAAGGAGTCTCTGTGAGGCACAGTTAAACTTTGGACTACTAACCAAAAGGTTGGCAGTTTGAGTCCACCCAGAAGAACTTCAGAAGAAAGGTCTGATAACCTGCTTTCAGAAGGTCACAACCATTACCAACCCTATGGAGCAGAATTCTACTCTGACACATGAGGGGTCTCCATGAGTGTGAATTGACTTGACAGCAACTGGTCTAAACTAAAGAAATGGAGAAAGGAAACAACAACCACCCAAACCCCTACATATTTATTTCTCACACAATTTGATTCTCCAGAACACGAAGTGCTTATAGTTCTCCAGACACTCCTCTGTACTTTTGCTTATGTTGTCCCCTTTCCAGAATGCCTTTTACCTCAGTTCATGGATTCCTGTTTATTCATTAAAGACCTGGCTTAGATGTTTCCACATCTAGAAAGCCTTCTGGAACTGCCCCAGCAAGAGTTAATCTATTTTTTTTTTTTTTTTTTAATTTTTATTGTGAATTGAGTGATAATTTACATGTTCACATGGGGGAACATCACTTTTACACTCATCATTTCATTGCAATGATTACAATCTCCTTTGTGCATCATCACTCAACAGTATATGCTTCTATTCTCTCATTTTTAAATTTTTTTCTGGGGGTGGGGGCGGGAGTGGGGCATGTACACAAAACCACTCAGCAGTATATAATCATTTAAACAACCAAAGGGCACATTCTGCAAGCCTGCCTCCTGGCCACCAGCACCTGGCTGCCAGCACATAGCCTTTCTCTTTCCTTGAGTCTAGAGTCCTCAGCTACTCTCTCTCTCTCTCTCCATGCCCTCATCTCTGTCTCCATCTCTGGTGTCGCTGCTTCTCTGGATAGGATTTCACATTCCGCTTGTGCTCTTCCCCCTCAATGGTCCTAGGTTCTCTGTTCCTGGACTGTAAGATTAACTACTCCCCTCTTTTTGTTGCAAAACTTCTACCTTTACACTTGTGACAGTCACAATTAGTTATGATAACAGTTACTCACTATTGAATCATAAGAACTGTATCCCCATCTCCTTTCACCAGACCCATTTAGACAGATGAAAACTACTCAGTGGGAATTCTACCTTCCACTACACACTCTGAAACTAAACTCCCTCTTGAAATTTTGTAAGCCAGTCACTTTGTGCCTTTATAGCCCCTCCCATTTTAGGTAGCAAATGTCTAAGTTGCTCATCCCTATCAACCCTGTGTACAGAGAGGATAGGATTGATTTTGGATGTGATGACTCCTTTCCTCAGAGTTGCATTTCCTCTGTACCTGCCTGTATTTCTGTTCTTGCACTGATTACAGAGTTGTGTTCATATACCCATATTTGCGTTTCTACTCTGGGAAGAAAGGATGCAGTCTGGTTGAGCCTTTCCAGCTCTGTGAAGTCCAGCATCTTACACGGGGCCTGAAAGGGGTGGCTGCCTGCATGCACTAAATTAGCCCTCTATTGGGTAGCCTTGGGCTTTTTCATAGACTCATGCTCTTGGCTAAATAAAGGTTAAACAAAAAACTGCAGGTACTCTTTCCACTGAATAATGGTCTTGTGTTATATTCATATTGGTATGCTACTTCAAATACAGGACAGTCAAAACATTACTCCTAATTGTTGAGGGAAATTGTTCTGCTCACAGATGATCAAGTTGAGACATAAAAATGCAAATCTGGCTGTATTATTCCCTCTTGATGAAAATCCTCACACCATATTTAAGCAATAAGTTCATTCATAAAATATAGGCACTGACATAAGACTGAACAAGTATCTGGATTGGGGGAGGGGGCAGTGACATGAGTGGTCCTAAGTGACCCGAGGAGGAACAAAACCAGAGGAAATGTGGTGGGGATGGGAGGGAGACTGGAAGGCGGTTGTTAATGTGTGCCTTTGAGTCGATGCTGACTGATGGTGATCTTGTATGACAGAGTTGAACTGTCTCTTAGGATTTCCTAGGCTGAAATCTGTATAGAAGCAAATCACCAGGTCTTTTCCTCTTCAGAGCCTCTGACCTTTCAATTTGCAACCAACTACTTAACCTTTGTGCCACCAGCGCTCCTTACTAGAAGGCACGTAAAATGTTAAGACAATCAAAAGGTGAACAAAGGACTAGCGTATTTCAGACACATTGCAAGAACTGAGACACACAATCAGGTTACCTTAGATGAAAGGACTTAACAAAAGACTACCCAGAATACCAAGGAACCCTGGTCACATAGTGGATTATGAGCAGGGCTGCTAACTGCAAGGTCAGCAGTTCGAATCTACCATTTCCTTCGCAGGAGAAATACGAGGCTTTCTGTTCCTGTAATGATTTATAGTCTTGGAAACCCTATACTGGGTCGCTGTGAGTCAGAACCAACTCAGTGGCACACAACCACCACTGCCACCCACCGAGGAAACCATCTCTGTAGCCATACTATCTTTTCCCAGAAATATCTCCAGTAGCTTGCTATTCCCATAATTTCATTTCCCATTATTTTGAGGACATTAGTGACTGCCGACTGTATGTCTCCCATGCAGACCACTCAGGAAAGACTCTTAGAGGGCAGTTAATCCCTCTGACTGGGTGGTTTGAAGCAGTTACTTACCTTAATGGTGTCAGGTCACAGACAGTGAAGCCTGGTCTAAGCAGCTGTGGCCGTGACATGGAGCCTGGTCCAATGACTTATACAGAGGAAAGGTCTGTGACTGCTTTGCTCAGAAGAGGATAGTGCAACTTGCCAGTGTGTTGAGATTTTACAGCCTGCTAGCACATATGGAGCTCCGGTAGCGTAGTGGTTACGAATCGGGCTGCGAACCTTAAGGTCAGCGGTTCGAAACTACCAGCTGCTCCGCGGGAGAAAGATGAGGCTTTCTACTCCCGTAAGGATTTACACCCTCGGAAACCCTGTACAGGGTCGCTATGGGTCGGAACCGACTCGACGGCACTTAACAACAACAACAACAGCACATATGGAATTTAAAATAAATAAAAAAAAGAGCAGAACTCAGTTCTCTAAATTCCTTAACCAGAATTCTGTTTTCTCTAAGGAAGTCATAGGAAGAAAAGGATTGGTAGCTTCAGCTTGAATTTTAAAGTCTTATACAGGACTGATTAAGACAGGATGAGCATTGTGTGTTATCCAGTCTGGTGGCTGCCAGACTCATTGAGCAAATGCTGTATCAGTTGGGCATGTCTGCCACTGCAACAGAATAGGAAACTTGTTGCCAGTTTTGCACATATCTGTTACCGTTGGGTTAGAGAGCCATGGTGCACTCTACTTCCTTTCACAGCTTTCTCTTCAGGGAACTATAGGATTATTCCAAAGCTGAGAGGAGTAGGGAAATGGCTTTTATCTATGAGCTTGATTCCATTCACACTGTTTTAATGAGACTTGGAAATTGGGGCAGGGAAAAGAGGATAGGCCCCAAACAAAGAAAGACACAAGTAGAGTGCCATCGTCTAGCCCTGTTCTCTGCACTTCAGAGTTGCATGTGTCACAGTCACGGAGGCAGTCTGTACTGCCTATGTGTAGCTCAATCATACAGCCTAAGTTGCTTGTTTTATAGCATTTACTTGCTTTAAGGGCCAATTTTCTTAGTCTTGGAGACCTGGTATGGTGCTGTAGGATAAGCACTAGACTTAATGAAAGGTTAGCACAAGTGACTCATTGAACGGTTTACAGGAGTTAAAACATGTAAAACCCTCAGAAACATGGCTGTATGTGTTGTTAAGTGCTCTCAGTTGCTTCTGATTCATAGCAAACCTGTGCAGCGTTTCCGAGGAGCAGCTGGTAGATTTGAACCACCGTTTTTGTGGTTAGCAGTCCAGTGTGTATCCTACAGCACCACACCAGGACTCACAGTGAGTCCCTTGGTGGCACACGTGGTTAACCACTTGACAACTAATCAGAAACTTGGCAGTTCGAGCCCACCAGAGGTGCTCGCAAGATGAGTCTAGTGATCTGCTTCTGAAAGGGCACAGTTCTACACGGGGTCACACATGGGGTCACCAATGTGTTATGTGTTATGACAATTAACAACAAGCCTCTCAACAACTTATAAGAAAGGTGGTGGTGGTGGTGGTGTGTCGTAGAGTTGGTTCTGACTCACAGAGATCCTGTCTAGGGTTTCTGAGGCAGCAAATCTTTACAGGAGCTGAAAGCCTCATCTTTTACCCACAGATTGGCTGATAGATTCAAACTGCTAAGCTTGCAGTTAGCAGCCAATGCGTAACTACTACGTTACCAGGACTCCTTTATAAACAAGGTAGTTATTGCCTGTGTTCTGTGTTTACTGTAGAAGGCCAGAGCAAGCTTGTTTTCAAACCAGATCTCACTTTGGAAGAAGTACAGGCAGAAAATCCCAAAGTGCACAGGGGCCGGAGTCATCCTGAGGAGTGTAAGGCTTTGCAGCGGGTCGCCATCCTCATTCCACACCGGAACAGAGAGAAACATCTCATGTACCTCCTAGAGCATCTCCATCCCTTCTTGCAAAGGCAGCAGATGGATTATGGCATCTACGTCATCCACCAGGTGAGTGTGAGGACAGACGAGAGCTCTGTCCTCCAGATCTACTTCTCTCTGACAGCCAACAACACCAAACACCAATCATATTAAAGTTCTCCTACCTTGGTAGGAGCTCTGGTAGCGTAGTGGTTTCGAGTCGGGCTGCCAATCTCAAGGTCAGCAGTTCAAAACTACCAGCTGCTCTGCGGGAGAAAGATGAGGCATTCTGCTCCCGTAAAGATTTACAGCCTTGGAAACCCTGTGCAGGGTACTATGAGTCGGAACCGACTCCACGGTACTTAACAACAACAACAACCTTGGTTATAAGGAGCTCTGGTAGTATAGAAGGTTATGAGTCGGGCTGCTAACCTCAAGGTCAGCAGTTTGAAACTACCAGCGATTCCTTGGGAAAAAAATGAGGCATTCTGCTCCTGTAAAGATTTATAGCTTCAGAAACCCTGTACGGGGTCACTATGGGTCAGAACCAACTCAGTGGCACTTAACAACAACCTTGGTTTTTGTCATTGAGAAGAGTGAAGGAAGTTCATATCTCAGGGTGTGGAGTTAATGGGATCAAATTCCATTAATTTTATTGGCCATTGAATGGACCTCTGGAGGAAGCTTGTGTTTTGTTGACCTTTCCATGTTAGGCTTGACTTCTGTAAGATTTCCCTCTGAGATTCACTGGCCTCCTTGTTTTGCTACGTAATACATACAGAAAGTGATGTTTGTCTTTTCTTTATTGAGCATCTAGATAGAATACTGTGTTATTAATTATCCAGCTCTGTGGCCATTTGTACCTTTTTGCATTTAATTTTGCCACTGATTATTATGTGGACTCCTGGTGTAGAGCTGTAGGATCAGCATTGGGTTGCTAACCTCAGATTGGCAGTTCGAACCCACCATCTGCTTCTCTATACAGATTTGCTATGAATTGGAAATGACTGGACAGTACTTAACAAGTTATTATGTAAAATATGTTATGCTTAATTTTTACTTTCTTGCTTCACAGATTGCCTCCCAGAAGGATGATTTAGTAGAAATATAATGTGATGTAAGCTGTAGGTTCAGCTTAAGATACTTCTATTTGGTGTTAACGTTTATTGAGAGAAAAATAAGGCATCAGTTTAAACATCTATGTATAGCTTTTTGAAATTGGCCTGGTCCATTCAAATAATTCCTGTTCAAATTCCTAAAAACTCTGAGAGTACAAACAAAATCTCTAAAAACATATTTAGTATTGTTGTTGTTGTTAGGTACCAGGTCAGCTCCCAAATTATTGTGATTTGTGCACAACAGAATGAAATGCTGCCCAATCCTGCACTATCTACATGACTGGCTATGGCTGGATCTTTGTGTCCCACAGAGCTTTCATTGCCTAATTTTAGGAAGTAGATTTCCAGGTCTTTCTCCCTAGTTTGTTTTAATCTAGGAGCTTCTCTGACATCTGTTCAGCATCATAGCAACATTCAAAGCTTCACTGACAGACAGTGATGCACCAAACCTGGGTCTTCGGCATGGAAGTCAAGAATTCTACCATCGCCTTCTAATGTTGGTCACCTGAGTCCTGGTGTGGCACTGTGGGATAAATCACTGGACCGCAAGTTTGGTTGGAACTGAAAGGTTGGTGGTTCAGAATCACCAGCTATTCCTTGAAAACCCTATGCTGTTAGTTGGAACCGACTCGACAGCACTTAACAATAACAGTGTGTGAGAAAGATGAGACTGTTCGCTCTCAAAGATTTATCTGTATCATGAAACTTTGCCTCTTTGGGTTTCTGAGACTGAAACTTTTACGGGGGCAGATCAGCCTCATCTTTCTCCTGTGGAGTGATTATTGGTGGGTTCGAACTGCTGGCTTTTAGGTTAGCAGCCCAAGGCACAACCCACCACTCTTCCAGTGTTCCTTTTCCATAAAGATTTATAGTCTCAAAAAACCCTACATAGGGTCACTGAGTCAGAAGCAACTCTTGGCAGTGGGTTTGGTTTTAGTTTAATATGCAATGTTACATATTGGACTCTTGAAAATCAAATGTATGCCCATTGCTTTAAGAACTTGAAACAAAATTTTACTGTCACATTGGTTTATCATTGTTTTGGTTTTCAACATAGTTGGTCATAGCTCTGATTTGTTTGATTTTGAGTTATTTTATGGGATATCAAGCCTCCAATGTAATATTTTATAAATAATAATAATAATACCTGCTTTGTGTTTAGTGCTTTCAGGATAGTAACTGGCAACTTCTAGGAACAACCCATACTTTTGTTATGGTAAACTGTTTTTGAACTGGAATTAATTCCTATGCAATTTGATCCAGGCAGTCATGAAAAAATGAACACTGTAAAAAATATACGTTTTTTTACTATAGCTTTGGTTATATTGCAGGTCTAATTCTGTTCTCTGTGTATTTATTTTGACCCTGTGATGACTCTTGCTCCAAAAGGGCAGTGTGAGGAATGGCCCCCACCATTAGTGCTATATAGGATTCTGTTACAGTGATTCCCAGAAACTTTTAAGTAGCTTAGAGACATTAGCAATAGCCTTCTTTGTTTTAGGTCAAGTTTTCTTGACCCTTTCTGGCAAATCACTGATTACATTTCTTGGAAGCTTGGTGTAGATTTATAACATAGAATAGATATGCCTGGCATCAGTTAAGAGTTTAACAGTGAAGAAATAAGATTCTACTGGGTGTGACTAATATGTAAGAAAGATTGTGGAATTTTACATGGGATAAATAAAGGTGTAATTTTTTAGTTATGGAATATAAATACGTATGACACTTAATGAAAAACAAGACAAAAAAATTAAGTGTTTTATTGTTAGTGCATACACCAGTGCTATCTTGTAGGATAGCAAAAATAAAATCAACTCCTGCTTCAGAACCGGAGAGGATCAACACATGAAACTTTTCAAGCTTGAACATCTGAAGAAGTTTTCAAGCTTTAACATTTGTTTCTATAGGCTGGAAGTAAGAAGTTTAATCGAGCCAAACTCATGAATGTGGGTTATCTAGAATCTCTCAAGGAAGAAAATTGGGACTGCTTTATATTCCACGATGTGGACCTGGTGCCCGAGAATGACTTTAACCTTTACAGGTGTGAGAATCAGCCAAAGCATCTGGTGGTCGGCAGGAACAGCACTGGGTACAGGTAAGGTGGCTTTGATGATGGAATACTTAGGTCAAGAAATTTGCCTGTTATAATCATAGCTGTGCAGAATGCTGTGTCCTATGCACCTTAGGAAAACAAGAATAGACAGAAAGGTCCATGATATATCACATAAGTGTTCAAAACAAGAATTAGAGAAACTAACAAGGGACAAAAACCCTACAACACCTGAGGGAAAATAATTCAAGCATTGCAAATGGTGACCAGTCTTGCCCTGCAGCACCTGTGTGGTAGAACGTTTGCAAGCTTACAGCACCAAGTAGAGCTCACAAAACTTATTGTCTATCCTTGACTTCCCACTCTAGAGGGCAACAGGATTGTGCCCTTTTGTCAAATTTTAGGTGTCTGTTGTAAGACTGTAATGCCACTTTTAGTTGGAGTCTTCCCATAATTCTGAGAAGAGTAGGGAGGAGCATATCTACTGAGTAATCTGCCCAGAAGTCAGGACACCCAAGACAGGTGCTTTTTTTTCACTAGGAATTATCATCTCTGTCTTTCTGTCTTCCTTTCCAGCCCCAAGAAAAGACATAGCTAATTTTCAACCTACTGTATCCCAGCTCTTATTCAAAGGAAAATAATAACTGAAAAATTTCTCTACTGATGAAATCCTATATTCATTATATGTGTGCACACTTACCTGTTCACCTTCCCCAAGCCCTGTCCTTCCCTTGTGCTCATTATCTGTGGTGCTGACCTTGCTAGGGGGCCACTAGAACAGTTTAAATGAGGCAGACTGTGTGCCCTTTGGGAGCTCCCTGTTGAGTGATCATGTGGGAGGCAGGTAGCTACGGTGGAGATGCATCCTCCCCCCCGCCCCATTTTCCTCTTATATTTCACGAATGAACAAATCAGAAATACTTGATGCACACATAAGTGTCCAAAAGCCCGTCTGCAGCCCATAGGCACACAGCCTCACTCAGTCCATGGGCCTAGAGTCCATAGTTGCTCCATCTTTCCGTCTCACCACCTCTGCCACCATCTCTGCTGTTGCTGCTTCTTCAAGCAGGCATCCCAAATTCCACTCATGCTCTTCCTTCTTGATGGTCCTGGGATTGTCCGTACTTGAAATAAAAGATAACTATTCCTTCCTTTTAGCTACATATCTTTTACAATCACAGTTTTGACAATCACAATTAATACTAACAATTACAATTGAAATAATAAAATTTTATTAGCATCATTCTGTACCCCCTTTCACCAGACCCATCTGGAAAAGAGGAAAACTTGTCAGTGGGGATTTCTTCTTGACCCTTCATTCCAAAACCAAGCACACCCATGAAAATTTGTCAAGTCAGCCACTTTAGAGATGCATCACTTTTATGTTTAATTTTTATGAATTAAACTATAAGCCCTGAGCTAGGAGAGGGAGTGAGATAGATAACTATAAAATCATGCAGGGGATTTTAGCAGCTAGAGTGAACTGAGAGGGAAACTATGAATCTCTTCATACATCACTCAGTCTTGGTTTCTGTCTTGTTCCTGTTGTGAGGCCTCTCACTTTGGACTATCTAAGAGATTTCCAAGAGTAACACTGACTATATGTGATTCCTGCCTTATGTGCTGACTTTCCCCCTATGTAAGCTGTAGAATTTTCTTAATTGATTCTCCAGTCTGACTAATTTTATTTATCATTTATTTTAGAATAAACAACTTTAATACATGTGCTGGATGGAAGGGAGGAGGAGTTATTTGCCTTATCTGGGCCTTGATTTTCCTCAGCTAGAACTCTAGCTCCTTGTCCTCTAGCACACAGCATCTGCTCGGCCACACTGGCCTGGTCTTAAAGTGATACATGCAAGAAGCTTGCCCTGCTAGAACCACTCCCTCAGAAGACTGCTGATTTTTGCATTCTTTTTCCTTTCATCATATTTTTTTTTCTGAATTTACTTTGATAGTTTTTTGTTTCATATCTCTTCCTCTTCAGGAGTCAGTCTGGCTCCCTTATTGTGGCCCAGAGGCAGTGCATAGTGGGACTCGTACCACTGCCGGTCCGGTGTGCTGTCAACGAGCACCATACAGCTCTTCACTAGAGTATTGGTGTGGGCACATTGTAGACAACATTGATCCTTGTTTTCTAAGTAGAACCCTCAGAACCCCAGGAAAAGTTCCCCACATCCAGCCTTAGGGTTGGTACTTAATGTTATCTCCTTAGGACCAGTACTTATTGTTATCTCTGCTAATATGAACTGGGTGTATTTGGTGGAGGCTGTTTGTGGTGTTGGCAGCGAGGCGTACCAGCTCATACTTCTGCATCTCATAGTAGAGGGCTTTTCTCTTGCACCCAGTCTTGCAGTACTTGTGCCAGTTGTCCCAGGAGCTGCCCATCGCTCAGCACTGTCTGGAAAGAGCAAGTCTGACAAATTTTAAAGGCACTGTAGAGGCATGTCTGCCCTCCACTTTATAAGAATCGACTTTGCACTGATCTTGAGTTTGAATCTCTTTCCCCCTTGTGAAATCAGAGGAAGTCAGACATGGTCCCCACATGGTTTTTACAGTTGGTATCAGTAGGGAAATTCATTACAATGGCTCCTGACTCATGGAAGCATGAGGTTTTGTTTTTGTTTTTTAATTTTAAAACATTTTATTGTGAATTGAGTGAAGGTTTACAGAGCAAATCATCAGTTTTACATTCAATAAATCATATATTTTGCTTCATTACAATGATTATAATCACCTGCATGTACCATCAGTTAACATTAT